CAACTTTAAGATTTTGATAGTTATTATTATTATTAGCAGTAGTAGTAGTTGTAGTAGTAATATTAGTAGGATTAGTATTATTGTGTTTTGCCTTTGTTTTTTTGTTTTTTGTTTTTTTAGTACGAGTTGCCCAAGTCTCAACAAGAGACTTCAAGAGAGAATCATTTCTTTTTCTATCAGACGGAACAGATGATGTACACCATGCAGTCAGGGAGAAAAAATGTAATTGTGGTCACTTGATGGAGTAAAAACCTATACAAGATGTAAGTAGTACTTTTGGGGAGGAGGAGGAGGAGGATGGCGGCGAGGACGACAACGAGGAAGAGTCATTGCGTTTTTATAATACGCGGTTAATTTCGCTGGGGATTAAGTGTATATTCCAGCGCCCACCACAGTATTGTATTCGTTTTTAGAATCGCTGTCATCTGGAAGTTTTGCTTCTTGCCCGAGTTTCCTATTCTTGGAAGTCTCTTTCAAACTAATCCAAACGTTCTAATAATATTGGGTACTCTGTCGCCTACAAGGACAGTGACATCTACTCAGTGAAAGATTATCTCTTTCCTTTTTTGCGATGACTAAATTTCTTCATTTGAAATTTGATTCGGGAGGTGGTGGTGTTTATTTGTATATCTCTATGTTCTACAGAATATCAATCTTTTATTCTTTCCGACAAACTCTAGTTAACGCAGATACAATTGCACAATTCTCAGTAGATATCCATTCCCAACCAATCACGTTTACTTTTGTACACTTTCTGAGAAAGCTGGTGTCACTCAATACAAAAAAGTACATTCTCATATACATCCCAGTAGAGATTAGATTTATGCATTAGCTGCGTTTTTTTTTATATTTGCTTTAATATAAGTGTTTTTAGGGTATGATCTGGTTCGCTATTAATACGGACTCATTCTTCAGATGTCCTCTGCGCAACTATTTTCTTCCGTGTAACTATATTTCTTCTCATGTTTTAAATTTTTCTGGTTCTATTTTCATCCTATTGTCAGTTTTGTTGCAATTATCGTCTGCTGCAGTTGTCGTTTTTTTTCCTCTTATTCTTCCTCTAGTAATTTCACTATTTACATTTGAACTATTATCATGAGGAGGATAGTCACATGTAAATAGTATAAATAATGATGACTCCTCATCCCATAAATTCAAACAGCAACTACATTTAGTAACCGACAAAATCCGCAATGCAAATTCCTTCTTTCCTTCCCGTCTTTCTTTTTCTCCCGTAAGCCAGCAGCAATCTATCTCAAGTACAACGCTTTATGCATCGTCTTTAATTTCCTATTTTATTTTTTAAATCCATCTTTCACATTTTCCAGTTTAGGAAGGGCCCCGAATAACCTTCAGCGAACTCCGACTAGTTATTTATTCACATGGATTTATTTTAGAAATTCTTTGCTCAATTTTCTGACTGAATCCGATTTTAGTAACCTTTTTTCTCGTCCATTGTCGCGATTTTCCAAGCGTAGCTTAGATGTGGCACAATGCACACAGTGAGGATCGAACTCACTATTTAGTCGTAATTGTTCTAGCGAGACAATCTTGCTAACCATTACACCGCACCGATGTGTCCAATGGTGATTTTCTAAGCCTAGCTTAGGTGTGGTACAAGGCCGAAAGTAAGGGGCACTCAGTGAGGATCGAACTCCCTACTCAGTCGTAATTGTTCTAGCGAGACAAGCTTGGTAACCATTACACCACCTCGAGGTGCCCAAACGTGATTTTCTAAGCCTAGCTTATATGTGGCTCAAGGCCGAATGTATAGGGCACCCAGTGAGGACTCCCTACTCAGTAGTAATTGGTCTAACGAGACAAGCTTGCTAACCATTACACCACGCCGAGGTACCCTAATTCCTTTTACTTTTTCCTGTTCCTTTTTGCTAATTATGGCCATTCTAAACTCCCTCCAATGCCATGGCATCCAGTTCCCCCGCCTTTTCCATTTACTTGTGCATAGAATACTTTACAATTCTTCTAAAATCTACTATTTTGCCTATGATGCTGAGTGATTTGTATTATTCTGCCTGCCTAAAGATTTTCATTTATTTTATTAGATTTTAGCGGTCGGTTCCTGGTTTTTATATTTTGTCGATCATGAATCCGAATTCCAAGGGAAAGGTGGTTGTAAAAAGAAAGAGAAATTGGATTATCCTTATATCGATTTCCGTATATTGTTTGGAAACATTCAGCTAGAATACAGCTCACTTCATTTTTCTAAAGAAATATTTCACACACCCATCTTCAAATATTTCTATCAGCGAAAAAATTGTAAGGGAAGACGAAGTGGAAAGATACGTGAGAGAAATCGTGCAGAAAGACGACTCGAAAGAATTTAATGTTAAACGGCTGCATTGCCGCTTAGGGGCCGGCCCCGGGCTGCTGAAAATAATTAAAATTCTTACTTCTTTTTTTTTTTCCTAAATATATCAGCGGGTAGGAACACTAGTAAATTATATCTGAGTACTCAAACAACTAGTCCAACAAATACTTTTTCTTTAAAACAAAACAAACAATAAACAACAAATAAGCAAAAGAAAGCAAATTTTCTTCCAATTATTTTTTTTTTCTCCGAAGATCTTGTTTTGAACCGCGTTTCACAGGTTGAGAAAAAGCTATGGTACAATTCCTGACTGTTGCATTTGTTAAAGTTATTGAAAAGTGCGCTGTAGAACACGCCGAATACTTCCCTTGTAGACAGTAATTCTCCGGCCTAACAAAAGGGGTAACATTCCGGACGAATGCGTATAGTGATTTTCCAAGTATAGCTTAGATGTGGCACAAGGCCGAAAGTAGGGGCACTCAGTGAGGATCGAACTCACTATTCGGTCGTAATTGTTCTAGCGAGACAAGCTTGCTAACCTTTACACCTCCTCGATGTGCCCATGTGATTTTCCAAGTATAGCTTAGGTGTGGCACAAGGCCGAAAGTAAGGGGCACTCAGTGAGGATCGAACTCACTATTCAGTCGTAATTGTTCTAGCGAGACAAACTTGCTAACCTTTACACCTCCTCGATGTGCCCATGTGATTTTCCAAGTATAGCTTAGGTGTGGCACAAGGCCGAAAGTAAGGGGCACTCAGTGAGGATCGAACTCACTACTCAGTCATAATTGTTCTAGGGATACAAGCTTGCTAACCTTTACACCTCCTCGATGTGCCCATGTGATTTTCCAAGTATAGCTTAGGTGTGGCACAAGGCCGAAAGTAGGGGCACTCAGTGAGGATCGAATTCACTACTCAGCCGTAATTATTCTAGCGAGACAAGCTTGCTAACCATTACACTGCCTCGAGGTACCCAAGTGATTTCCAAGTATAGCTTAGATGTGACATAAGGCCGAAAGTATGGTGCACTCAGTGAGGATCGAATTCACTACTCAGCCGTAAGTGAGACAACATTGCTAACCATTACACCGCCTCGAGGTGCCGCGAGCGAATAAGTACACCCAATCTATGAATTCCTATTTTGACTCAGAGTTTACACTGGACCTATGTCTACCTTTTCGACTTAATTGTAAACCGGACCATGTTTACATTTTCATATCTATTCATTGTAATTTTTGTTTGTTTGTCGGCATATTAACTCTTTTTCTTTTTTATCCCGTGACCCGGACTGTCGTAGGGGCACCATGTGTGCTGCAGCCACAGTAGAAGTGGTGTTTCCTGGGAAAGATAACCTGACGAAGCCCAAACCTCTCCGATTTTAAATTCAGAGTTTTTTCCTTCTTCTCCTTGACCGATTGCTATCATCCTGCACATACATCCTTGTGCAAATTAATTGAATCAAAACGAATAATTCTGTTATTAGTTGCTTTTTTTTGCGCATTTTTCCAATGAAACATGACCGAATACATATATTAGTACTTCGTATGTCAATGCACATATGAAGTACTAACATATGCACATATTTATTTATTAAACCAAGGGTCTAAGTCACTACTTTATTTATTAAACCACGGCCTTGTGTGTCTCTTGGCTGTTGTATTTGCAAACACTTATTCGTTTTATTTTAATTAATTTGCGCAAGGGTGTATATATGATATTATAGTGATCATCATCACACAAACACATACATACCTATACAAATTCACATTTCAATAACCATCATTCATTGGATAGAAATCAACGGTACTGTCTTATGCGACAATTTTGAAATCGCTATATTTTCGTATAGTAGATTTTGTGCACTTTTTGGAGAATCGGCTCCCAGAAATCTCCCCAAAACTCATTCACTGATTGGTCAGTGTCGACCAATCGGATTGTCTGCACGTGAAGAGTGATCTTTCTTGCGCAGCACTTCTGATCCAATGATCACCTATAAAAGCAAGAAAAAGTGTAGACACACAATCCACAGAATTCACGACAGTTGAAGTTATGCTCCGATCTTCTCACTCAACACTCACAAACTGCATATTCCTTACACTTACATAAGTTTTCCTCTTGTACAAACTATTAACTCTTTCTTTTCGGAGAACTTTGATAGACAATGATAATCAAGAGAGACAACTCTCGTCTTACTCATTGCATGCTTTTTTCTTACACATTCTTTATTGTATACGTTGTTGAATACAATTTTTATATATAATGATACCTTTGCTTTGTCCTTTTTTCACATCAGTTTGATTTC